CCCGCACGATCGGCGAGTCTCGCCAAGGATTCGCAGAGCGAGACGAGATCCCCGCGAATTCCGAGACTCGGACGGGACGCGCCGCCAGGACCAGAGCAGGACTCGCAGCCTCGGAAGTCGCGGATCGCGCGTCTCCGTTTTATATCTAAGAAACATTAATATAGAATATATTATCATGTAGTTTATGTAAGGTATACGGTCGGACACTTACGATCTACGGAAAAAATTCAACAGTTAAAAGATTTTAACAACTATCTCGTGATTGGCGGAAGGAAGTGCGCGCATCTTCCTCTGACGATTCATTGTCTCTCGTTTTTTCATTTTATTTTATTTTTTCCTCTTTTTCCATCAATTTTTTCTTCTCGTCCCTCCTCGCGCCTGCGTCTCTCCGAGACACTTGAGCAAAAGCAAAATCGGACCAATTTTTGGGAATCTGAGAACGCGCGCACTTCCGGTCGCGAGTCACGCTCTTCGAGCTCTCTCTTAAAACTTTACTTTTTTTTTGGCACGCACTGTTTCGTAATGGTGGCACAACATTTATAATTTAATGGAGTGTGCAATTATTCGAATAAATCTCGGAGGCTGGACCGTCGCGCCGGCGGCAGCCATCTTATGTATGTCCCGTACAATAAGACGTAATAATTAGTTAATTATCAACAAACAGTCTTGACGCGCCGTCGAGACTCAACCTTCTCCTGGTTGGTTGGATATTTTCTAAATACTGACTTCCTCTTAAGAATCCTGAACAGCGACAGTGGCTGCTGCTGCCAGATAAATATTTCATATTTAGCTCGATTTACAGGTAAATCGAATCTCGACGGCGTGACTTTAGGCTATGCAATAAAGAGCATCGGGAGCTGTGCGTTGTAAATAATGTATAAAAATCACGAAATCCGCGACACCTCAGAATAAAGGCATTGTAAATATAAAATATCATTCGAATACAATATATATCAAAAGCAAGAAAGAATATATATATATATATACTATACATATGGATATACGTATACATATATAGATAAATAGGCGTTCTGAGAAAATGATCGTTTTGCCAATCATTCAATCTGTTCGTGTTCTTTTTGTTACCGGTTAGACTCCGCTTAGACGACTAGTCATCAATTTAATGTTCGGTTGATCGACTAGAATCAAATACGATACATTAAAAATTGACACACATTTATTTATGTATATTGTTTAATCGCTTAACGTTATTATCGCCGAAGGACACAGGGACGGCCCCGCTAAAAAAAATCCTGTTATCCGTTACCTTTGGTATACCCAATACCCAAATACTCACAGTGGACAATATATTTATCCATCTGCGTTATACCTTTCTGTACTTTTTGTCTGCTAACTATAGTAGAACAATGGCGATCATCAATGGCAAGAATAGTAGCGATCAAACGAGAGAGGACGAAAAGGGAGGCCATAGCGATTAATGATTTTACAAAATAGCACCTTTCCTATCCACCAGAATCTCCGTTTCAAACTTTGACTATCAATTATTTTCATTTTTTTTCTCTTTTCTTTTGCCAATTTTTTGGATTCATTCACATCGAATCAGTCTTAGAGTTGCACAGCATCGTTGCCTATCGATTAAAATTATACTAATTTTGTCATCACAATTTTTTTGGCACCAATTATAATTACATTCTTAAATTACTAATATGCCTTCGCGTTGATTCTTCATCTTTTTAGAGAAACTTCACGTTCCGAGGCATAATTACCTCGATGATTAAATTTTGACAGCCGAGCTCAACATTGAGATCGCAATAAACTCGAAAAATTTCTTGAATTTTCTTCATTTCGCGAATCCGTAATGCTAAAATTTCGATAAATATTATTCTAAGTCTTTTGACATTATATGAGAATATCGGAGACTCTGGCAATTCAGTTCGTATTCGCAGTCTGTGTGGCCGCGTTTATCAATGACGGCCGAGAAAACGTCGAGCAGTTTGAAATACTTTTTTTGGTTCAGTCTTTCGCTAATCCAGTCTACAGTCTAGCACCATCACGCAGCTTGATTTTACTTAATCTTTTTTTTTCTTTTTCATTCTTCTCTCTCACTGTTATCTCTTACGCACGAATTAATTGGCTTACACTAATTAAAAATTTCCTCTCACAATACGACGAATCAAGTTAAATGATCAAGGAGCGCATGCATCAGCTAAACGTGCCTAAATTTATTTACCTAAACATAGCTAAACGTACCTATATATATATATATTGGGTAAGGACATACCTATTCTGTGTTAGAGGATCAGAGACGCTGCTGTTTTGACCTATTTATATTTACACGAGAGCCAATGCACGAGTTCATAAAAGTCTATCGACTTGGCATCGATATCTCTTGGAATTAGAAAAGTGTCAAAGAAGCGACACACGGGACACACGCGATAATTACAAAGAAACCATTTAAAATTCGTTTTTCGTAAAAATGAGAAACAAAAAATGATTTTCGATGTTTCTTCGACCTCTGACCCATTCGTTCACCCGGAAGACACGAGGCTCTCGAATTCCGAGCAGGACGAAGACGTCCTCGTACCGTTCGGGATATCGCAAAATCTTCCCTAACATTCTGCTATAATCTAAATCGCTTATTGACGAAGTTAGGACGTGTAAAACTGTTCGACGAAGCTTCGCTCGCGGCCATCGGGACCTTCCGAAAGCTTCATCGCCATCCGGGAAATGGTCTCGGCTCCCGCGCTGACGATGCTCTTCGTTAGTTCGGCAACTCCGAGGTCGAGGACGGCGAGGATGCTGGACTCTGGACCACGGAGGGCATGTCTCTGATCGTCGGGGCCATCAGCATCCCACGTGGACTGAAGGTGTCGCAGTAGAGATTCTCTTTTTTGTGAACTCGCCTCACGTGGCTTCGTAGATTGTCGCGTCGCGCACTTCTGTACGCGCAGTGTGGACACAGATGAGGCTTCTCTCCGGTGTGCATGCGACGATGCTGGATCAGCTGAAAGAGGAGAAGAGTCTCCTTTTCGAATTCTTCCTTTCTCCAAGGACTGGACACCGGGAAACGTACCTTCTTCAGTTGGACGGTCCTGAAGATGCATATATCGCAACAGAAGTACCGGTCGTCGCGGTGCCTCCTCATGTGGCGACTCAGGTCGACTTCCGATGATCTGTCGGCTCCGCAAACGGCGCAGCTGACTCTAGTTTCCGGTGCCGCCCCTTTTGCATGTGCCCTAAGGTGTCTCTGGAAGGCCTTCTCGATGGTGCACGCGTACGAGCACAATGAACAACGGTACTCCTCCCTCTCGTATCTGGAAGTGCACATTTTTTAATAAGAAACTTCCGGGAAAATTCGTTAAAAGACTTGGTCTTGGACACTTGGTCGCCGTATGGAGAAAAGACTGAGTACCTATACCTGACGCGCTGCAGGGCCAGGCTGCGTTTCTTCCCCGTTGGCGCAATCCCCTGAGCCACGTGACTCGCCACGTGAGTCTCCATCTCGCACCTGCTTCTCGTGGTGAAGTCGCACCCCGAGGAGGGACACCTTCTAGCTTCGCCCGTCTCAGTTCCCAAGAGGCTGGGATGACAGTCCGCCATGTGCTTCCTTAGAGCTGGTCTGGTGGGAGCGATCAGATCGCAAGAGCCACAGGAATAGCCGCGATGAACGCCAGCGTTAGGGCTGCTGCCTCTCGACCTGGGCAGGTGTACCACACGGTTATATAATATTCAACTGACTAGGACAATTAAAGAGCCCAATTACTTTTCAGTGTAAGAAGAGTGATTGCTCTCCGAGTCGCTGTCCGACGGCATGTTAGGAATCTCCGAGGCTTCCAGAGCCGCAGTCGCTGCCGAGAGTCGGCCGAGCATCGCCGTGTATGCACCAAGTACCCATCCATTCAGAACCGGAGTCACAGTTTCCTCCTGTGCATTTAATTAAATAGTCAGTTTGACAAAGACGTATCGATCACGTACTGTTGGGGG